ATCTATCTATCTATCTATCTATCTATCTATCTATCTATCTATCTATCCATCTATCTAGCTATCTAGCTATCTATCTAGCTAGCTAGCTAGCTAGCTATCTACATATATATAATTTTTTTCCCTCCAACTACCCTAATACTGACAAAGGTCTCATGAGTTACAAATATCATCTTTCCATGCAGGAATGTAAACAGTTCAACCTTAATAAGTCTCTTGTGATTTCTCTTTCCTGTTTACCTCTTCATGTTTCACTTGAGTCTTGTATTTGAAAGTCAAATTTTCATCAAGAACGCTTGAAAGTCCCGTTTCACTGAATGACCATTTTTTCCCCTGAAGGATTGTACTCAGTTTTTCTAGGTAGGTGATTCTTGGTTGTAATCCTATCTCCTTTGCCCTCTGGAATATTATATTCCATGCCCTCTAGACCCTTAATGTAGAAGCTGCTAAATCTTGTGTTATCCTGATTGTGTTTCCACGATACTTGAGTTGTTTCTTTCTGGCTGCTTGAAATATTTTCTCCTTGACCTGGGAACTCTGGAATTTGTCTACAATATTCCTAGCAGTTTTCCTTTGGGGATCTCTTTCAGGAGATCGGTGGATTCTTTTAATTTTTATTTTGCCCTCTGGTTCTAAAATATCAGGGCAGTTTTCCTTGACAATTTCTTGAAAGATGATGTCTAGGCTCTTTTTTTGATCATGGCTTTCAGATAGTACAATATTTTTTAAATTCTCTCTCCTGGATCTATTTTCCAGGTCAGTTGTTTTTCCAATGATATATTTCACATTGTTTTCTATTTTTTCATTCTTTTGAATTTGTTTTACAGTGTCTTGATTTCTCGTAAAGTCACTAGCTTCCAATTGCTCCAATTCCAAAATTTCAATTTTTAAGGAAGCATTTTCTTCAGTAATCTTTTGGACTTCCTTTTCCATTTGGCCAATTTTGCTTTTTAAGGCATTCTTCTCTTCATTGGCTTTTTGGACCTCTTTTGCCATTTGGGTTAGTCCATTTTTTAAGGTGTTATTTTCTTCAGTATATTTTGGGTCTCCTTTAGCAAGCTGTTGACTTGTTTTTCATGATTTTCTTGCGTCACTCAGTTTTTTCTCTACTTCTTTTACTTGCTTCTCGAAATCCTTTTTGAGCTCTTCCATGGCCTGGGACCAATTCATATTTTTCTTGGAGGCTTTGGATGTAGGATCTTTGACTGTGTTGTCTTCTTCTGGTTGTATGTTTTGATCTTCTTTGTTACCAAAGAAAGATTCTATGATCTGATTCTTTTTGCGCCATTTGCCCATGATCCCAGCCAATTACTTGAGTTACAAACTCTTTGTTAAGGTAGGAGTCTGCTTCCAGTGTGAATAACACACTGTCTCAAGCTTTGGGGGGTTTGTGCAGCTGTTTTCAGAGATACTTCTAGGGACCTATAAATTTTCAGTTCTTCCAAGGTGGTATGATCAAGGCCATTACTCCTTTCCTGGCCTGTGCTCTGGTTTATGAGTGACCACAAGCATTGTCTTCTGCCTTGGAACTGTGAGGAGGATTTCCTCTCCACCACCACTACAAGCTCCACCACACCAGCACTCCTCCTTGCCCCAGGACCACCACCCAGAACTGTGACCCAAATCCAAGCACAGGCAAAGCAAGAGAATCCTTTACCAGCAGAGAGATCCCTGCAATTCCCCTCTGATCATCCACTCAATTCTCCCTCAGTCTGTGGGCCAGAAGCTCTGGGAGCAGCCACAGCCCTGGGGCTGAGCTCTGGGAGTGGGGCTGGGACCGTGCTTCTTTCTCACCGCAGTCACAAACTTTTCCTACTGACCTCCTAAGTTGTCTTTGGCATTCGTGGGTTGAGAAGTCAGGAAACTGCCACAGAGGTCTATGATTCAGTCCTCTGAGGTCTGCTCTAGGTTCGCTGAGGCCTGTTTTGCCTGTGTGCCCACATTAAACTGTGCTTCTCTCCCTACTCTGCATGATATACCTTTCTGATCAACCATCCTGGCTGTCTTGGGCTGTAAATTTGTTTCACTCTTGTCTCTTTATGGGTTCTGCTGCTTTAGAATTTGTTTAGAGCCATTTTTTACAGGTATTTGGAGGGGTTTGGGAGAGAGCTCAAGCAAGTCACTGCTTTTACTATACCATCTTGGCTCTGCCCCCTGGAGTGTGTTTTATAAGACATTTGTTCTGTATGCTTCATAGTTAAACTTGGGGAAAGAAAAACAAAACAAAACAAAACAAGAAAACTGTTGGGGTTTTCTGTGTCTCTCATATAGTGAGTCTTTCCTTAATTTCTATTGGCTGAAATGATCCAGAGTCTGGGGCTGGGGTGAAGGAAAGAGGCTTAAAGATAAGCATTTCCTCTTTTCTAGAGAGAAAGGAAGACTGACAAACTGATAGACAAAGAGAGAGACAGTGAAGGGAGGAGACCAGAGAGAAGAGAAAAACCCACCGTAAGAGCCAGGAATATGGAGACAGGACAGTCCGTGAGGTCTGTCAACTTCGTCCCTTTCAGGAATGAGGAGGAAGCATAAAGCTAAGCCCTACAGGAACCTTATGGACCACATTTGTACCCTCAATTTCTAGTGTACTAGCCTGATTATAGTCCTTGTTCCATGTAGGTTTCTTACTTTGAATTGAGTTGTTGATTCAAATATGATAAACCAGGAGATATATTCTAGCCTGCTGTTGTCTGTCCTTCCTCTTAGAAGACCAGTGATATTATGAGGTGAAATCTTGACTTGCCAGTGAATTTGATTTAAGTGAGGCAGAGTTGCACAACATTATGGGCCTCTTCCAGAGTCATCAAAGTCCAGCAGCAAGACAAAAATTAGGATGACGGGTGATGGCCTGGAATGCAGTGCATGACCTTGGTGTCTTTGATATCTGAACAAGCTCTAAGAGCTCCATAGCACCTACTTCAGCTGCCTCGATGGCCTTTAGAACAAATTGTTCTCATCTGCCTGTTTTTGCCAAAGGAAGTCTTAACATGGTGGGGGTAGACGTGGGGTATTCAGAGAGGATTAGCACTTCTGGTATGAGAGCTTACCAAGCCCTTTTTTCAGGGCTGGCTGCATTCCACTTTTGTTGTCCCTTTTACCCAACTCTTACCTGTGGCTCTCAAAATTTTATATTTGAGGAAACTGCTCTGAGAAACGATTTGATTTCCCAGTGTTCACAAAGGTAGCAAGTGTTGGAGCTAAGAAACTGTCAGGTTTTGTTACTCCAAATATATCACTTTCTTTAGTGAACAGTCTCAAACTTTAGAAAATTTTGAGTTCTACTCAGTTTCTCTCTCCCTGTTTCTAATTTTTTTTTTTTTTTTTGCTGTGATATAGCACTTTAGAGAGGTCAGGAAGACCTGGGCTCAAATTCTGCCTCTGGAGTATATTGGGTGTGTAACCCTGAACAATTCATGTAACCTCTCTGTCTCCAGCAATTTTCTAATTTAGAGATGAATTGTCTACTGGCGTTGGTGAAGGATGTTACTACACAAGGAGTTACCTGTACCAATGAGATCACATGTCCTTCCTCCATACCTCCTCAAAGAAATGTGTTAGAAACATTCAAATAAGAATGATTTGAACAGTGTTATGCCATTAAACAGGACTCAATGCCTAGTGTACAGAATATAAATCATCAAAGGTTGAGTTACCATAGCAATAGCAGCATTGTTTTTCTGAAAAGTACTAGGCGTGAAGTCATTTTCAAAAGGGTTGAAACACTTGCAGTTTTCTGGTGGTCGCAACTCCATCATTAGATATGCACACAAATCCTCTGTATAGAAAAAGGGCTCATGTCAATATTCCCATTTGCATTCTGGGGGGGAAGTACTGTAATGTTTAATTCTCTCCCTGGATGATCCAACAACTCACATTGATTTTCTGAATGATGCTGACTCCACTGCTAGTTAGGTGTGCAAATTGGCACAGATTCATAGAACCAACACTTTGGAAGACAGTAGCTTAGCCCTCAAAGAAGTCAGCCTACGGTACAGGGAAATTGGGAGATTATGTGACTGATTCCATATGCCCAAAGGCTTTCAGTTGTGCTGTTTCTATGACTCTTGATCAGCATGAAGGAATGTTTAAAACAACACCACCACCACCACTTGAGAGAATCAATGGTAGGATTCAATAACAGTCAATAACAGTTGGAATGGATCCGTTAAATGGGATTCAGTGGGAGCCTGCTAGAGTCATGGATTTAGAGCTGGAAGGGACCTTAGATGTTATCTGATCTAACTCTGTGATTTTACAAATGAGGAAACTGAGGCCCACAGAGGTTCAATGGTTTGTCCAAGGTATTGAGAGAGTTGAGATTTTAACCAATGTCCTTTGACTCTAACCTTAGTGCTCTTTCAACCTAACAATACTACTATACATTGAAGAAGTGGATTATAAAATTGGTTAATGTTAAAATAAGGCAGCTAAGTGGCACCTTAGTGCATAGAGCTCCTGGCCTGCTGTCAGGAAGGCTCATCTTCCTCAATTCAAATCAGGCCTCAGACACTTACTAGCTGTGTGACCCTGGGCAAGTCACTTAACCCTGTTTGTCTCAGTTTCTTCAACTGTAAAGTGAGCTAGAGAAGGAAATGGCAAATCGCTCCAGTATCTTTGTCAAGAAAGTTCCAAATGGGGTCACAAAAGTCGGGCATGACTGAAAAATGACTGAACAACAAATGTTAAAATATCCTTGTTCCATGAAACAGCAGAATGCTTATTCCTTGGATTCAGACTGAAAAATGTGGGGGAAATCTGATTGTCCTCTGTGGGGCCTTGCATCTTTATGACTCCTAGCATGCCACTTCTAAACTTTAGTATTTTAGGCAAAGGCAAATTCCAGTGGCTATGATGGAGAATTCAAGCATTAACTCTAGAGAAAGAGTGGCAATAATGAAGGGGCCTTCCCTCTTTATATCTTTTCTGTAATACGTGCATACATATATATGTGTGTATGTATATATATGTGTGTGTGTGTGTGTGTGTGCGTGTGTGCGTATCTATGTGTGTGTGTATCTATGTGTGTGTGTGTGTGTGTGTCTGCATGCACATCTATCAATCTTTGCTTCAAACCTCACTTTCATTTCTAAATACATTCCATCTTTCTCTTCTCTCCGTTATCACTTTTCATAGGTACAAGGATATGAAAGCGGGAGGGGAGCTGGGGAAAACTAAACACATTCACAATTGCCCTGTTGTAGGGACATGGCATGAAGTCTGGGGCCCTGGAAGATGTCCAATAGTACCCAGATGAGGAAAGGTAATAGTACTCCCTGTCTAGTGCCACTACTTCTCCAAAGCTCTTCTAAGTACAAGAGTAAAGAGACTGGAGATGCAACTAGAATGTGACTATCTTCAAAACCCAAAAGGATAAGTGGTTCTTCTGGGAAATTTTAGAAAAAAAAAGAAAAAGAAAAACAAAGGCTGGTGTCCAGGTCTTGTGAATGTGTAAAAAAAATAAATTAAAAGTATCACTCTTAGACCAGCACAGGCTATCAGAAAAACCCAGACATAGAAGTTACACCAGCAGATGTGAGTAGAACAGCCCAGACCAGAAATCTTTGCCTCATCTTGCAACAACTGTGATGGCCAAGGCACCACTCTTACCATTCTGGCATTTTATAATGCAGAGGAGATAATACATCGCCAAAGAAGCCTGGAAAACAATAGAGGGCTCTTCATGATTGCATAAAATGACCAGTTCTGCTGCCAGTTGACCCATACATGGAGCATCAACACTTGACTGAGAGAGAGACAGAGAGACAGAGAGAGAACTTAGTTATCTTAATATGTTGTCTATAACATGAAGCATCTCAAAGGGCATAGACGCCAACGCCAAATGATGTCTCCAAAGAATTACTAATTTAATTATGAGTTATTCATTTAATTATGATTCATGAATTACTAGAATACTACTAAAGATATGGCAAGCTATTTCTGTATTTAGGGCAGATGGCAGCAGCAGCAGGAAACAGGGTTCATCTGGATTATTGCTGCTGGGAGGCAGGAAGTGCCCTGGGACACAATGAGGTTTCAAATCTGCTGAAAGGGGAGGAGGCACCCCAGAATGAGGTTGTGTTAGCCAGAGCATTGGTGCCAGGCAGAGGAGGGAGCATACTTGGGAAAGACTTTTGACAATATTAGGGGTTGGAGGGGTCCAAGGAAGAAAGTGCCCCCTGGAAGGCGCTGTTGGTGATGTCTAAACATTCTGCCATGGCACTAAGCCCCAGTCACCCTGCCTAGTTATAGAGTTGAGTTCCATACCATTAGGCAGAGTTTATAGAAGGAGTCTTAATGCTCTCATTTTCACGTATAACTAAGTGCAGCTTACACCAGAGGTCCTTAGACAAATCTCTCCATAACCTCCTGAAACAATCTGACTCCTGTACATGACTGAGAATCTCTACTAGAAAATTCATGGTATTACTCCTCTTCACTCACTTTCTATCCTATCTCTAGAATAGATTACATTAAAACAGTTTCTAATCTAATCTAGTAGATTAGATGAGAATAGTTTGATTAGAACAGAGAGTAAAGTGGAGTAATGGCAGGAATTTTCCAGAAGAGATTTTTAGCTATAGATTGTTCAAAATAGCCTCTGAGTTTCCTTCCAATGTTGTGAAAAATAGAAGGGGCAAAATAAATAAAAAATAATAAAATAATAAAAAGAAGGGGGTAGCTAGGTGGCGCAGTGGATAGAGCACCGGCCCTGGAGTCAGGAGGTCCTGAGTTCAAATCCAGCCTCAAACCAAACACTTGACACTTACTAGCTGTGTGACCCTGGGCAAGTCATTTAACCCCAGTTGCATTTAAAAAAAAAATAGAAGGGGCCCAATGGTTTGTCCAGTTGGGGGTAGAGCTCATATTACATGCTCCAAACACGGTCCTCTTTAAAAAGGGTAGAGAGAAGGACATATATACAGGTCTTCCCAAATTATAATCAGCTGACATGCTGATTCTGTGCATATAAATGGTCAGCCTACACATTGCCAGCCCTTTGACTGAATCCAAACTTCACAGAACAAATTCTGTGGGGAAAACAAAACAAAACAAAACAAAATTGTGAAGTTTGGATTCAGTCAAAGGGCTGTACTTGAGGACCTAGAGGGCCACATGTGGCCTTGAAGCCACAGATTCCCCACCCCTGAGTGGTAATCCATCATGTATAAGAGTGGTTCCCAGCATTATTTCTTTCGCAAACCTCTTTGTGAAACAGCAAAACTGTGTTGTGAACCCTCGTGGCAATTTAATATCCTACTCATAATATTCTGCACTTATTTACTAGTTTAAGGCACCAGTGAATTATTTTCAATGCAAACCCTTTGGACCATTATTGCAACTTGGAGTTTTGCAAATCACTAAATGGGCACCACTAATGTATAACTTTGTTTCCAAAGAAAAACATGTTCTAAATTCCAAATATTCCTCTTTACAAAGATATTGTTTAACACTAACTATGGTCCAGATAGCTAGGACAGAAGAGGATTAAATCATCATCCATTCTAGGAATAGCAGTTCATGGCCATAAGAAGTTTTGTAGAAGACACATCCATTACTGAGACATTTACAATGCATTTGTGGAGGTGTCTAGACGATTCCTTTGGGAACACTAAGTGATACAGGGATACTTGAGGCTTAAAGATTCTTTTCCTAATGGTTCATGCCACCAGCAGCAAGGCTCTCAGTCACACCCCTGTGTCTATTGAGAAAATAGGCAGAAGGATTGGGTTGGGGGAGAGGGTGAGAACTTCAGCAATACAGCCTGCAGAACTAGGTAGCAAAGGAATCTTTTCTGACTTACATATCCCTTAACTTTTCTTGTTGAATACTTTAAGACTCTGCTTATGATGTTCAGGACTCGTTCCTGCAAGTAATAGGTGTCTCTGTTCATCCATATGATCATTTCCTGTTGGGAATGCAAGGGAAGTAAAAGAATGAACACTGGACCAAGAGTTGGACATAGGACAGACTCCCAGTTCTACCCACTGAGGACTCTGTGGTCCTCAGCAAAATGAGATAGGTTAATTTAGGGTTGTAGAGATGGATCACAGCTCTAGACTTCTGAGGTTATCTAGTTCAAACCCTCACCCCCATCCTCTGTGATTTTACAGATGAAGAAACTAAGATCCAGGGAAATTGAGTGATAATAATAGAAGAGTATTAATTATTATTAATTAATTATATATTTATTATTAATCAATAAAGTATTATTGATATTACATTATGCATAATAAGTAATGCCAATAGCATTAATATTAATACATTGATTTGTCTGTTTTACTTTTTTCAATTCTTTTTGAACTTAAATACATAAAGACAAAAAAGAAAACATTTTCATGTGCACAGCACAATATACAAAGAGGATTCATTATAAAACCATGAATTTACATTTCACAGTTTACTTTTTTTTGAAAAACTATGTAAGTACTACACATAATTTTCAAAGCTACTCTGCTTTCCATGCTTCCTTCTAAATTTTTTTTTATTCTCTGCTGTGCACTTTTACAATTTTTTCCTTCTCTCCCCACCCTGACCTAGAGATGGCTAACATTAGAATATGTGCATATATATACACATATATATATACACACATACATATGTATACATACATATATATGTATTTGCGTGTATGTATATTATATATATGTATATGTAAAATCATATTATACATACTTCTATTTATTAGTTCTTTCTCTCGAGGCAGATGGCAGGTAGCATCTCCCTTCATAGGTTCTTTGTAGTTGATTTATTTATAACATTCATAGTGACTTAGTCACTCAAAGCTGTTCTTAAAACAACATTGTTGTTAAAATGTATATTGTTCTCCTGGTTCTGCTCATTCTGTTCTCCTTTATTTCATGCAAGGCTTTCCATGTTTTTTTCTAAAATCATTGAGCTTATCATTTCTTATAGCATAGTAGTATTCCATCATGATCATATACCACAAATTGTTTAGGCATTCCCCGATTGACAGGCATCCTCACAGTTTCTAGTTCTTTGCCACCACAAAGAGAACTGCTATAAATATTTTAGAACTTATAAGTTCTTTTCTTTTTCCCCTAATCATTTTGGGAAACACACTTATTAGTGGTATTGCTGGTCGAAGGGTATAGACAGTTTAATAACTCTTTGGGCATAATTCCAGATTGCTCTCCAAAATGGTTGAATTAGTTCACAGTTCCACCAACAATAAATTAATGTTCTAATTTTTCCACATTCCCCCAACATTTGTTGCTTTCCACCTTCTATCATTTTAGCCAATCTGATAGGTGTGAGACTGTATCTCAAAGTTGATTTAAAGTGTTTTTTTTTTATATGACTATGAATTGTTTTGATTTTTTCATCAAAAAACTGCCTGTTCATATCCTTTGACCATTTATCAACTAGGGAATGAATTGTATTCTCATAGACTCCTAAAGATGATCCTTATAGCAAACGAGAAAGTATGCTTGAGGATCCTACAAAGATATTTTCAAGTTTATCCCATTTATAGGGATGATTAAACATATGAGCTTTCTCACTTCAATAACAATGATAGTTAGCATATATATGTATGTATTATATATGTGTATAATGTGTGTATAGCATTTTAAGATTTATGAAACAATTTACAAATATATCACTTTATCCTCACAGCAAAATTAGGAGTTAGATGCTATTATTATTCCTATTTTACAATTGAGGAAACTGAGACAGAGGTTAAGTGACTAGCTCAAGGTCACACAGCTAATGTCTGAAGATGGATTTGAACTTGGGTCTTCCTGACTCTAAGCTACAAGTTCAATAAGAGGCTCTTGGAATATAGATTTGGGTGAGTTTTTAAAATGTAAGCAGGGACGACGAAGCTACCCCTTCTCATGACCATGGCTTCAGTTCTGCCTGAGTCCCAAGAGTCTTCATGAAAATCATCCCTTATCTTGCTTTACTTTATCCCGGTCTGCAAAGGAATGTCTCTCTACCTTGACTGCATGTTTAGCAAACATTTGTGATTTTAGTCCCTACAACTAGACCAGAGTTCCTCAATTTTCATAGATCTTCTTGGTGGACATCAGGGTATCTTCTATGAGCACTGCCACACAAGGCAACACCCTGATTGTCACCACTATTAGAATTACCTTACTGGATCAGAACCAGCGGTCTTCCACCCAAGATTCTGTATCTGGATATGACATGGATAAAGGGGGTGGGGCAGACTCTGGGGTATTTACCAAAGGTGACATTGTCAAATATAAATAGATGTATGGATTGTCAGCCATGATATGGGGCCACTCTTTGGCTTCAGTAGCTCTGTGTATGCTGGAGAGCAAGACTATATATACACATGTGTGTATATATGTGTGTATATATGTATATATACACATATGTGTATGTATATGTGTGTATATATGCTAAACACCTGGATTTGAGTCCTAGCTCAGACACTGATGAGCTGTGTGATTTTGAGCAAGCCCCTTAGCCTCTTTCCAAATTTCAATTTCTTCACCTATGAAACGGAGCTATTAATACTTAGCCTGCCTCTCTCATAGGTTTGTCCTAAAATGATGAAAGCCTTCTGTAAAACACAAAATGCTTGATAAGAAATGAGTTATTATTCAAGTCTATTCAATTCAATTGACATTTATTAAACACTTATTGTATGTAAAGCACTGTGCTAGGCACCATATATACAGAGATGAAAAACAGCATTCCCTACCCTCAAGAGACTTACATTTATATGATTATATAATTGGAGTGCCATTATAAGGGGGTTCTTTATTATAGGAATCTGAAGGTACTGCAGATTACATGGTGGAATGTCCTTAGTCTTAACTCCTCAAAGCAACTTATATACACATATTAAAAGAGAATATATTAGTTCTAGTATCGGTAACCACTAACAGAACTGTTATTCTACTTGAAGGATCAGAGACATTAAGTTTTGTTTTCTACTATTTCTATTCATCTTTCTATAGGGATAGGTACTGGATTGATGGTTTTCTTGTATGGGGAATTCCCAAGTGAGGAAACACCTCTCCCAATTCCGTCTCTGCAAATGACTCTTAGTCACCAAAAGCCCTGAGAGGCTTAGTAAGTAGCCTAGCATCACCTAGGATTTGTCAGAGGTGGGACATGAAACCAGGGCTTGTTTTCCATTTCCATAGAAAAGACTAAACCCTTTTTTTTTTTTGGCTACCCAATTCTAGAGATGATGAGAGTCACCACCAGAAAATTAAGAGGGAAAGGGAGACAGAGGACAACAACAGAAATATGTCTGGATTCCTGGACACATGACAGGAATATAAACTTCTAATTTCGGTTCAAGAGCTAGGGGTTGCCTTCCTAGGGTTGCCTACTTTACCCTTAAGATCTGTAGCTTGTAGAGGTCTTTTGACACCAAGATCAGAAGCGTGTCCTCAAAGGTGGTTAAAATAGTTTGGTACAGTTGCTGTGAGAGAAAAGGAAACTGGAATTATGAGCTGGCCTTGGGCAAAATCCCACCATGAATGAGTTTGTATTCATCACAATCCGGAAAGGAGTTGGGATTCAGGGATAGCATTGTCTTCAAGTAGAGGAGATGCTGATGCCAGTACCACCTTTCCTGTAATAGGTGAGCCTAAGACATAAGCCAGACGCTGGATACTGATACTGAAGAGACAGAAGGACCAGAGAACTCTCTTTTCTCACCCGGGCCACCTCTTTTTGCTCCCACTCCAATCATCTTAAGCATTTTTCATTAATTAGCTTATCCCTGCTCCTCCACTTTACCACCAAGCTCTCCTCCATCCATGTAGTCCCCTTTCCATTGTACCTCTCCCCTCCAGTCACTTAGTGGGGATTGTAAACTCATTGGAAAATACATTTAGAGTTGGGGGGGGGGCTTTAGAAATCATGTAGTCCAATCCTTTCATTTTATAGGTGAGGAAATTGAGGCCCAGAGATATATGATAATGATAATATGAAAATGATAATAAGAGCCAGGATTTTGGAATGGAAATAAGCATTTATATAGTGCCTACTGTATGCCAGGAACTGCGCTAAATGCTTTTGGCAAACATTATCTTGTTTGATTCTCACAATACCCCTGCATATGAGGTGATGTTATCCTCATTTTACACATGACGAAACTGAGACAGAGAATAAGTGATTTATCCAGGGTCATATGTCTAGTAAATGACTGAGGTCAGATTTGAACTTATTTCTTCCTGATCCCAGGCCCTGTGCACTACCTCACTCCCTTGATATATGGTTATTATTTGATATGTGATATATAATTTGGGGCAGCTAGATGACACAGTAGACAGAGTGCTAGGCCTAGAATCAGGAAGACTCATCTTACTGTGTGGCCCTGGGTAAGTCACTTAACCCTGCTTTGCCTCAGTTTCCTTATCTGTGAAATGAGCTGGAAAAGGAAACGGTAAACCACTCCAGTATCTGCTAAGAAAACTCCAAATGGGGTCACAAAGATTTGGACATGACGGAAAAATGACTAAACAACAACAATAATATAATTTGAAGCCACATCATTCTCAAAATCCAGCACCCTTTGCCCTGTGCCCTTGCCATGTAATAGACCCATCTCCCTCTCTTACTGAGGAGGCCTCAGGGCAGTATACTTGGTGACTATCAATCCTTGTCTAAGCCACATTGGAGAATAGAAGACAGATGTCCTCTCAGTCCAAGAAGAAAGATGGCCACCAAGAGAATGATTCTGGAAAAGAGAAATGGAACTACATCTGGTGAAAGGAATGAAGGTCCTCTGTGGTTTCTAGGGCTTTGGCATTAGAAGGGATTATCTGGATGTAGCCTCCCTCTCCCCCAAACCCCATCTTTTACAATTAAGGAATACTAGGCCCAGAGGATTAAATGACTTGCCAATGGTCACTTAGTTTGTGGCCGAGATGGTAGTAGAACACATGTCTCTTTCCCCCTCATCCACTTCTCTTTCCACCCATAGTAAATGCAGAGTAAATGAATAGCATAAAATGCTACCTCAATGTCTTCTAGGTCATCTCGACTCATTTGCCTTTTTTTTAGTATTTCTATATCAGGCATGGAGAACACATTTTTAAAGCATTCCTCTGTTTTCTTCAGTTGAGTATCAAATTGCTCTAAGGGATCCACATAGCTAGGAGGAGAAACAGAGCATTTGGTCACTTTTAATCTGTTAGTATGGTCAACTGGGAATCAGGACAAACTCATTTATGGGGTAGGGTTGTGACCTGAAGTATAAGCTGCCTTGAATGACAAAGAAAGGAGTAATCTACTCCTGTTCAATAAGATCATTTGCCAATATCCACTCAACTTTTTTTAAGTGCCTACTATGTGTAATGCAAAAGTTATTGATTTAATATAGGGCATCCATCTTAGAAATATTCTATAAATGCTGGACTCCCAGGACAGGACGAAGCTGGTGGATTGCTTGAACTCAGGTGTTCTGAGCTACAGTAAAGCCTATCAGGTGTCTACGCTAAGTCTTGTGCTATTGTGGTGAACCCTAGGGAGCAGAGGGCCACCAGGCTGCCCAAGGATGGGTCAACCAGCCCAGGTCAGTCCAGAGCAGGCTAAGGCACGCATGCCAACCAGAATTTTGAGCAGGCCTATGAGTGATTGCTTCTCCTTTAGTCTGAGTAAGATAGGAAGACCTAGTTTCAAAAAACCAAAACAAAACCAAAAAAATCTCTACAACAAACAATTGAAACCAAGTTGCTTTCAACGTACTTGAGCAATGCAACTGGTCTCTGTTAAGTAATAGAATTAGAGTAATCTGATGAAACTATTTCACATAAATATGTGAATGATTGAGATTACCTCACTTTCCTAGAGGCTTTTATTATTATATTATTACATTATTTATGTCACATCATATCATATCATATTGTATAATATTATAATAAGCAAGTGCTTGTTCCCACAAATGAATCCTGAATAGGAGACTTTCAGAAATAGTAGAAAGAAGTAGGGGGAAAACTTGGCCAGGGAAGAAGAGAGTTTTGCCCAGTAAGCCACCTCATGCCTGGATGTCTGCCCTTTGGATCAGTTCTTTTAAAGGCCTTTGGTTTTCCACAGTTTCTTTGCTTCTTCCACTTTTGATCCACACATTCTCTGCAAACTTTGAGTTTTTTTTTCCAATTCTTCCCATTTGTTGCAGTCACATCAGAAAGCCTTTGGTATCAGGGATGGGCTCATAGTCTTTGTCCCTCAGGTGAGGACAACCTGCCTACCTGCACACAGTGCCTTGAAAAGCGTTCGCAGCTCAGAATAGAATTTTTTTTCCTAACTAAAATACTATAAAACCAGAAGCAACCAGACCAAGAAAAGGAGACAAAATTCATTCATCTCCAACAAGCAAATAAGATAAATAATCTTTTGTTTTTGAAACTGGTCTGCCTAACATAGTGATTTTATTGAATACAACTGACAATGTTTGTATTATTCATTTGCACTTGAAATCTTATTTTCTTATAAAAATAGGATGGGAGGGGGGTGCAGTTAGGTGATGCAGCGGATAGAGCACCTGCCCTGGAGTCAGGAGGACCTGAGTTAAAAATCCAGCCTCAGACACTTACTAGCTATGTGACCCTGGGTAAGTAATTTAACCCTAATTGTTCCCCCACCAAAAAAAGACAAAAATAGGATTTTTCATTTTTAATCATTAACTTAATATAATTTGTGATGGCATTTCCTCCTTTGTACTTACTTCAAGATCTTCACATATATCTCATAAAAATCTCATTTGGCTCTAATGTTGCTGTTTGGCCATTCATGCACTAAGAGATTCAAATAAACCAGTATGGATCCATAAGTTCAAGACCCAGGGGGGAAAAACTAGGCTAGACCTAAAAGAATTCAGATTGGAATAATGTGGAAATGATTTTTTAAAAATTAATTTTTTCCAGATAGTTCTGAATCTTCTTACCATGATGGTTCCCCTTCTCTGAAATTGCTCTAGTTTTTCAATTTTCAGTGCAGTGCCAACAACTAAACACAATATTCCAAATATGGTAGGATCATGGAAGATTATAGTGCAGCTATGTCAGACCCCTATACTTTCGATAATGCAAACTAATTTCACATCATTTATTTTGGTTGCCATGTCATATGGTTGACTCATACTGTGGTTTTTAGGTAACAAAAGACCCTAAAATTTTGGGTTTTTTTTAATACATTCAATCATAATCATCTCATCACCACCAACACATATAAAGAGATGCACACTTGTGCATGTGTGATTAATTTTTCTTTAACTCAAGTATAGGACATTATGCTTACTGCTATTAAATTTGAGGATCAGTATCAAGGATATTCTGGAACCAGCTCAAATCAGGCAATTGTTAAATTTCCAGTGTGGACATTTATACCTTGGAAATGGGCAAATTACAAATTAGGGCTTGATTTATTGTTTTGTTGATTGTCTAGACTTAAGAAAGTGATGAGAAAACATTAGAGATACAGCTCAAACTTAAAAGTATGTTGTATATACATTTTCTTGAGGAGTTGATTGTCAAAGATTTATCAGCACACCCCTGACCTGTCTTCTTCTATCTGTCTCTCCTTTCTTTCAATCACTGGAGCTAGACATAGCAAATGAGCCATCAGCATGTGTGAGAGTCCAGGAAAGAAAAGTTGTTTTTATGCCTGATATGAAATGAAAAGTCATCACATACCTGGAATTTATTGCTAAGATCATAGTCTGATGACTCAGCAGTTTACAGAAAGTATCCCACATGTCTTTATTCACATTTTCCTGCAAGTTGCAGAAAAAAGTCAAATTAAAATAACTGCATTGGTTATCATACAAAGAACAGCTATTTTTCCTTTCTTAGAGACTGTTGAGAGATCATCCTTACCTGTAGGTTGACTAGAGACAAGTCATCTAACCTCTCTGAGACATAGTTTGTTGATCTGTAAAATGGGAATCATAATAATATTTGTGGTGTGGATGTCGTAGAGTTATTGTGAAGCCCCATATGAGTTAATAGGTATAAAACACTTTGTAGTTATATAAAATCTCAGTTATTATTATTTTTGTTGTTAAAATAATTGATGCCTGTATACCATTTTAAGGTTTGCAAGACATTTTCTTCAGAACCAACCTTAGGAGACAGGCAGTACACTGTTGAATAGCTAGTCCAGTGTGGTATACTGGGTAGTACAGGACTTAGAGTCATCAAAGACTGAGTTCAAGCTTTGCCTCTGATGCTGAATACTTGTGTGACTCGACAAGTTGCTTTACCTGTGGCAGTCTCAGTAAAATTGGTATAATAATAATTGTAAAGTAATTATAATATAGTCCAATATTACAGGATTGTTAGGAGGCTGAAATAAGATGCAAACTTTAAAGTACAATGTGGATTTAAGTTATAATCCCCCCCCCCATTTTACAGATGAGAAAACCCAGGATCAGGATCACATAGCAATGAATGATCTACAGCTGGATTTTGAACCCAAGTTTTCCTGACTCCTGGAAGAGAACTCTATTCGGTATGAAAGGAAACTTGAATGTAAAGCAAGTAAAATTCCAGCCAGGTTGTCAAAAATTTTCCAGCTAATAGGGTGGCATAATTAATAAGTATTTTTAAAGCCACTGGGATCCTAGGTGCCAGAGGACCCAAAAATGAAGTATGAGATGTCATCTCTCCCTCAAGGAATTTAAAATCTTGTTGAGGAGGCAGGATCTGCACACATGAAATAGAGAACAATACTATTCAGCAAATATCAAGTGCTAAATTGTACGGTTTTTGGATCAAGAAGGATGGGAGGGTGCAATGTTTTCTAGGCAACAAAATCTGTTGCTTTCAATTCACTCTGATACAATGAACATTCATTACGAAACTACTGTATACAATTAGTTCACAAATGTTTATTAAACACCTACCATGCCAGACATTATATGAAGATCTGGAGACACAAAATCAAAAATGAGACAGCCCCAACCCTCAAGAAACTTATGTTCTATGGGGTGTAGGGAGGAAGAAGAACATACATATACATATATATATATACACACATATACATATATATATATATATACACACACATAGAGAGAGAGAGAGACCCCAAAACTTGAGGGCTAGTAGAGTCTGGAGGGGTTATTTAAGGCTAGAGGAAACCTAGGTATGTTTAAAGGCATCAGGAAATGAGCAAGTAGATAGGGAAGCACTGTGTTTAAAATATATATACAAAAAATTCCTTACTTTCAAGGCATTAACATTCTTCTGAGGATGCTACAGACAGAAAGATACTGTAAAGAAATGCATTATAATTTGAGGAGAGAATACTAACCACTAGTGGGCATCAGAAAAGTCTTCCCTGTACAGTTACAGTACTGAACCTTGAAAAGACTAGGGATTCTCAGGGGTGGAATGAGGAAGGAGCACATTCTAGGCTTCCAGGATGGCCTGCGCAAAGGTTTAGTACTAGGAGGTGGGATATAGTATGCTAAATTTGATGAACCACTAGTAAGCCATTCGATTGGAATGTAGAGTGTATGACAATAATATAAAATGGGTGTAGAAAGATTGGCTGTAGCCCAAGTGTGAACGGCTTTAAATGTCAAGTTTTTGAAGATTCTTAAGTCAGAGAATGGAGTGACCTGGTCAAATATGCTTCAGAAAGCCTTTTAGAGGCTGTGTGGAGGATGGATTAAAGATGGATCCATCTATCCATCCAAATCAGCCATCCTACATAACTAATTATGGAGGTAGAACTAATAGCAATATATAATTCATGCCAACCTACCCTCCAAGTGTGGAGCATCCATGGTGGAGAGCCTCTCTAAATTAAGTTGCAAGATAATTTCCTTGCTGAGAACCACTGTCTTCAGGAAACATTTAAAAGATCCCATATCATCATCATTGTTGTCATCATCATCATCATCATCCTTGTCAACATTTTTATGACTACCCTTTTTATTTTCACTTCAAGGCTTATAAAATACCTTACATATATTGTCTTGTTTGATTCTCACAAGGAGCCTGTGAAGTAGGTATGTTATTGTTATCCCTGTTTCATAAAAAGGAAACTGAGGCTGAACAAGGTTAAGTGGATTGTCCAGGATCACACAAATATTAAGAGTTTTAAAGCTAAAATGAGCCTTAGAAATAATTTTGTCTATTTTATGGATGAGAAACCTAAAGCTAGGAAATATTAAATTAACTGATCCAGATCAAACATACAGAAAGAAGCAGAGCCATAATTTGAACTCAGGTCATTTGATTCCCAATTTGTTACTCTTTATATCACTTAATAACTCCTTACAATGCAAACAAAAAGTCATGTGTAAAGATGGGCTGGCAGAAATCACTTCCTATGCCTTCTGTTATAGCCAAGGAGCCAAGGGCTCTAAGAGGGAAGGGTGAGGTAGAATGCCATCCCAAAACTTGCAGATTACAGTCTGGGTTGGGTATTTCTTACCTAAACCTTCTCCTACTTCCTCTAGTTCTCCTTACCCTTCTCACTTTTTTGGGTGAATGTGGGCTAGTAGTGGTCAAGCTCATTGTCAAGGATGGAAGAGGAGGCTTAGTAATTGCATTGGAGAAAGAAAAGACTTGGAGGCCATATAACCAAAGGGTCTTTGTTTTTCTCATGTATTTCTATTTCTATCATCTCCCTCTGTCTCAGTTTATGTCTATGTCTACATCTCCATCTCCATCTATCAATGTACATGAAGAAGACATTAAACACTGATTATGGGAACCATGTTCTAAGACAAGAGCAAATTCTATTCTACCATATGTTTTCCAAACAATTCCTGACAATGTACTATTCCACAAAATTTTACTCACCACGTGACGCCATTTCACACTGGCCTGCAAGGACTGGAGATTGCTATCTAAGGAGGAAAGAGAGAAAACTGAGTTAAAGTGGGAAGAATCTGTATCTTTGAGAATAATAAAAGCTTTTCACAAAGTTAGAGTAAATCTCATTTTAAAAGCTCTGTTAAGTTCTCTGTATTAGTGATGACTTTTTCCCCCCAAAGTAATGTTTAGTGGAAAGAGATAAAGTCTAACAGAAAGTAGTTTGTATTTGAGTCAATTTTCTGAATATAGAGGCTTTTCTTGGGAGATTTGGATAAATTATTTCTGTCTTAAAGGTTTGTATTATAATATAAGTATCATCTAATATGGTTAGCTCTAGAATGCTAATTAGGAACAGGGTGGGTTTTTCCTCTTCTTAAAGAATAGAAAACCCCTCCTTTTTGACTGGGGTGGGGATGAGGGAAACAGTTTAGGTTTTTACACTCTTTGCACTGTCAAGATACTCCAATGTGATTATGATCTCTTTTGGCTTTTGACAAATTTTGGAAAAGAAGCAAGAGAAAACTAGGGAAGGTAGAATAATAAATAAGTCTTTTCTTTAATTAGCTATGAGCAGTCAAAGGTAGACACTATTATAGTGTACTCCTCATTCAACTCCCATATTTGCCAGGTCTTGACATTTCTACCTCCACAATCCCTTGTATCCTTCCCTTTCTCTCCATTCACATGGTCACCATCCTAGTTCAGGCCATTATCATTTCTCACCTCAGCTATTGAAATCATCTTTTAGTTGCTCTCCTTGCCTCAAGTCTCTCCCAACTCCACTCCATCATCCATAAAATTGCCAACGTTATTTTCCTAAAATACAATTTATCCTTCCCTTCTCGATAAATTCTAGTTTCCCTCCTACTACTTCTAGAATCTAACATGAACTCTTCTTGACATGTAAAGCCCTTCACAATCTGGACTCAACCTACCCTTTGGGCCCTATTATGCAATATTCCTTTTCTCACACCCTTTACTGATTAGTCTAACTGGCTTTCTTACTCTTCTTCATGCAGGAAGGGCACTTCATTTCCCATCTCCAAGACTTTGTACTGGCTGATTCTTATGTCTGGCATGAGGTCTCTCATCACTTCTACTTCCTGATTGTCTAACCATATTTGAGATTCAATTCAAATGTCTCCTTTGCAAAAGGCCCTCTCTGATTCCCCTAACTCTGAGTGGCCCATTGAAATCACCTTGGATCCAATTGACACATATGTAATTGATATATACATATATATGTATATTTTTATTATGTATTTATGTATGTATGTGTATATGTTCATACATTGGAGACAGCTACTGTTTCATGGTTTTCTTTTGTGTCCCTAGCATCTAGAATAGTGCCTGAGCCATAGAAGATACTTAATAAATGCTTACTAATTAGTTAACTAAGAGAAGGAAGTCACTGTCAGATGAAGAAATCCATCTTGAAGGCCATTATTTCATCATAAGCTTATTTGAAACCTCAAAGCTCCAGAACTATGAATTCATGCCCAGGAAGAACTTTCAAAGTTAAGAAAAAGAAGGCAGGAAGTAAGCATTTATTAAGTATCTACTGTGCCAGGCACTGTGCTAAGCACTTTACAAATATCTCATTTAATCCTCACAACAACCCTGAGAAACAAAACCCCTATTTTACATTTGAGGAAACTGAGGCAAACAGAGGTTAAGTGACTTTCCCAGGGTCACAAAGCTAGTAAGTGTCTGAGGCTGGATTTGAGCTCAGGTCTTCCTGGTTCTCAGCTCATTGCTTTATCCACCTTTATCTTTACCGCCTATGAGCATTAAAAAGATAAACTGAGTGAAACACAAAGGGATGTTCTATAAAGGCCTCTGAATTCAACTAGATTGAAATGTGATAATAAGTAGCTATCATAAAGGTATGGGATTATACCTTTTGTTTTTAAAGATTTGATGTTATTTTAAAATTTTGTGTTTGGCAATGCTTTATAAAGTTCAGGCATATTTTTAAGGTAACAAACTGTCTATTAATAGTATGTTTAAAGTATCCATTTTCTATAGGGAAAAAAAGACGTATTTCAATCTCGAGTGAACCATGTTTATAGAAAAACCTAGTCCTTTGATCATAACTGAGAGATGATTCCCTCTTGGTGGTTTTTGTTCATTTGTTTCAATTGTGTCCAACTCTTTGTGACCCCATTTGGGGTTTTCTTGGCAAAAATACTGGAGTGGTTTGCCATTCCTTTCTCCAGCTTATCTTACAAATGAGGAAACTGAGGCAAAGAAGGTTAAAAGTGAGTTGCTTAGGGTTATGCAGCTAGTAAGTGGTCTGAGGGGAGATTTGAACTCAAGATGAGTCTTTCTGACTCCAGGACCAATGCTCTATCCACTACAGCCCACCTGACTGCCCTCCTCTTGATGGTACTGTATCCTAATTTCAAGTTCAATGGTTTTGAGTTCAGCCTTTTATACTGTCAACTTAAGAGTCTTTTTTCTTGTTTGATTAGACTTGTGATTTCATCAGTAGAAACTTCCTCTACCAGTATAGATAAAATTACATAATTCTGTGTAAGTTATAGTCTTTAGAAAGTATTCTGGGCATCAAGAGGTTAAGTATTCAAATTCATCTAGCCAATATGGGTCATGGGTCAGAGGCAGGAAGGAATTAAAGTCAGGCCAGTTTTGTATACACTATGCTACACTGCTTCTCAAAATATATAGTTATAACAATGGATATTTAAGGGTTATATATTCCGAACTGATTAAATGTGTGAAATTAGTAGTTGCTTCTTATTCACCTACCTTCACAGGGTCACTCTGAGAAAAGCACTTTGTAAATGTTAAAGCATTAAATTAATGTCCACTACTGTCATTAGTAGTATCTAGCGAAAGCAGGTGGCACAGTGGATAGCATCCTTGATCTAGAGTTAGGAAGACCTGAGTTCAAATCCAGCCTGTGCAAAACATTTAACCTCTGTCTGCCTCAGATTTTTCGCCTGTAAAATGTAGGTAATAATAGCAACTACTTCCCAAAGTTGCTGTGAGGATCAAATGTGATTATTGCAACACACTTTGTAAACCTTAAAGGGCTATATAAATGCTAGGTATTAATAGTATTTTTTTTTTAGTTCATCATTCAAAATGTAGTGATTCAATTAAAAAAAAAGAACCTGTCATTTGGGAAAGGTGACACCATGTGGCACTGATGAGAAATAGATGATGCTAGTTAGCTTCTCATTGCCACATGGTCCATGTAAAAATCTACAAATTTAATTGTGTTTTATTAAGGTGAAATATGAGTATGCCTTTTCCACTTTTTCTTTTTTCTTTTTTTTTTCACAAAGTCACTTACTTTCCTCCAAATATCCTGGTGGATTAGAAATAGGGAATCCTTCAGAACTACACTCTCAGACAAGAGCTGTCAGTCATCAATTATAGCAACTCCTTCTAATCTGAGAGAGACCAGATACCTGGCTCCCTGATCCCTCCCCCCACTCCCTGATCTGCTAATGAACTATCTCCAACCAGGAACTCCTAGTCTTCCTAGAATTACAGAGATTAGAGGCTGCTTCTCAGACGCCACCCCAAACCCAAGTGGATAGACTCTAAGGACTCTTATCACTGTGGGCAGAAACATAATTAGTTCACCCAAGATTTCCTGTTGTGCCTCCCGCTATCATCTCTCAAAAATAACTCAAGCCACCAGGTCAGATTATCAACGGAAGGGCTGTTGATTCTTGTAGACTTTCTGAGTGGAAGTAGGAGCTGATGATAACTCATTCCTGCTGTGTGCCTGTAGGTGCTTTCCTTCCCCCATCCCATTCCTGAATTTCTGCATTTCTCTTGGTCTATATGTCTCTTAATCCCCTCTACTATATAATCTTATGTGAAGGAATGTGGCCTTTGACAATTGCATGGTATTTTTTCTACTTTCTGCACATCTTTTTGTGGGAATTAGTGACTGTCTTCAGGACCCATTGGTTTGTTATTTTTATCCTATATCAAACACCCATTTGCTGTGGGGGGGAGCATGCATGGCTGAGATATGCTACACTATAAAAAAGTATTAAGATAACAACTTTAGACAGCAGGTCAGACAATTCTTTGGAATTTTAGGATTAAGAGATCACCTCAGCTGATGAATTGGGGGTAAAGAAATGAGGGAGAATAGAATGAAGGAAGACTTTAAGGGATTCAGATAGATGTACCTATGTGTATACATTTTTATTTTTAAAGAAATAAATACCTACATTCTTTACAAATACCTACACTATGATTCTTAGCCCTTCCCAGAAGTTTCACCTTAAACTTTGGATTTGTTTAGCCTCATTCTGGCTATTAATGTTCTATATTTCAACTCAAAACCCAAGAGAAGAACTCAACTGGTGGGGAGGGAAGAATAAAAGAGGGAAGGAGAGGTACTTGCTACCGGATCAGGACTCCCATATACAAAGTTAAGAATTGAAGGAATCTAAGAAACCCAAGAGCGTTGTCTTTTTTTTAAATTTTATAGAAATATTTACTTCAAAAAGTACAATCACAAACATACAAACTTTCTCTCCCAACACATGGGAGTCATAATCCTCCAGCATTGTCAAAGTGAATTTACATTAGCTAGAAACTTAAGAATCTGACCTACTACTCAGCCCAGGCATGAAAGGGCAGGATAAGGTGGAGAATTTAGCAAGAATGTTTAATGCCTACTATGGACAACTCTCTGAACTAGGCACCAGGGATATAAATATAGATACAAAGCAATATGTGCCTTTAAGGAATTTGCACTCTAATAAGCAAAGTAAGGACAGGTGAAGAACTTGTACATAGATAATTGTGATGAAAGGAGAAATGTTATAGATAGAAAGGAGAGGACCTAGAAAAAATGCTATAGAAATTTTAGGATTAAGAGATCACCTCAGCTGATGAATTGGGAGTAGAAAAATGAGGGAGAATAGAATGAAGGAAGACTTTAAAGGATTCAGATAGGTGAAGGAGTAAACAGCAAAGCAAGGCTTGGTTTTCTACTTATACAATATAAGAATAATGTGAAACGTAAATATTTCTCCAG